AGACACTTACCCAGGCTGGTGGTCCCTGAATCTGCCCGCCAGAATCACCTCAGGAGCCCTGTTCACTCTTGGGTAAAACCCAGATCTGATCCGGTCATGCCTCTGCTTAAAAATTCACCATGGTATTTTACCACAATTTTTAAAAAGGGAAAAACAAAATAACCAAAAAAAACCCCTGCGTTAGTGACCCGTCCTCCTACCCCACTCCCGTTTTTTTCCTCCTTTAAAGGCAGTCTAGGGCGCCTGGGTGGCTCAGTCGGTTGGGCGACTGCCTCCGGCTCAGGTCATGATCCTGGAGTCCCGGGATCGAGTCCCGCATCGGGCTCCCTGCTCGGCGGGGGGTCTGCTTCTCCCTCTGACCCTCTTCCCTCTTGTGCTGTCTCTCATTCTCTCTCTCAAATAAATAAATAAAATCTTTAAAAAAAAAATAAAAAAAAAAATAAAGGCAGTCTAATCAGTTTAATGTATTTTAGCTGGCTAGGTAGTAACTTCTATGACTCTAAACAGTGGGCTTTGTGTGGCTGCTTGTTGATTTGTCAGTTTGTTACCATCTGCCAGCATCCCACTTGGAAGATGGGATTTTAATCTCTTTCCTCCCCCTGGTCCCCCAGGCACCCCGTTTCCAAACACTTCCTTTCCTCCCAACAGAACTATGATGCAGTCGGTATTCAGTGGTCACGTGACCGCCGTCATGGACGTGCTTCACAGCGGAGCCTTCCAGTGAACTACCATCACCTTCCTTTTTGTGGTAGAACGCGTTCTTCGGGCATTTCTGACGGGGGCATGGGAGGTCAACTGAGACTAACGTAGAAATCAATCAATCCACCATGTCTCCCCACGGTGCATGGGATAAAGTTCCGATGCCGTAACTCCGCACACGCGCCCCTTCTTGTTCCAACCCCCACCTGCCCGCTGGCCTGCGGGTCTTTGCTCACACGCTCCTCCCTCCGCGGCTAATGCCGCTGCCGCTCTGTCTGGGGAAGTGCCCAAATCCCCTCTCTTAGCGGCCTGGCTTGGATGACACTTGGCGTGGCCTTCCCAGTTGTAGGTCTGTTGCACCGTGTGTATACTGAGGTCTTAGTATTTCTCACGTGACATTATTTATTTACGGCTTGAGTTTAAATCTTGGCTCTGCCATGTCCCAGCTCGGTGGCCTCAGGCAGGCGACCTCTGTGCCTCAGTTTTCCTCTTTGTAAAATGCAAATAACAGCAGTAGCACCTGCCTGCTAAGGTTGTTAGCGACTGCACAAATTGATGGAATTAAAGCATTTCTAATAGTGCCTGCCACGTAATAAGTCGCCATCTGCGCTCTACGTCCCTCTCCCTCACACAGGCAGACTTGGGTGGGTTCTAGTCACCAGAGCCCAGAATAGCTCTTTGGCAAATTAAGTCTCCAGGGGCTGGGCTGGGCACCTAAATAAGAGATGCAGGCCGGGTGTGATTCAGGCATGGGGGGGGGTGTTGGGGCCTGGAAGGGGCAATCTCTTTCTGAGGGGGCATCTCATATTCTACTTCTCGGCGGGTGCCAGGTAGGAATGGGGGCCCAGTGTTGCCAGATTATCAGATTCTTTTCCCTTATGAGAAGTTTTGAGAGTCCACTTTTTTTTTTTTTTTTTTTAATGGGTTTTCCTGGCATTTAGTACACGGTACAGACCAAAGGCACTAAGCCTACTGGCCCACAGGCTGCTGGTTTGGGGCCCAATTCTCATTTTGCGAATGAGGCCCAGAGTGACGACGTGATCTGCCTTGGCTCACACGCCGACCGATTGGGCCCTCCGTTTTCTCACTGGTCTGGACGGGCTTAGCACTGGTGCTGCCGCCCATGGTGGGGACTTTGAGAATTCAGTCGTGCATGTGGCGCATTTGCAAAGCATCTGCCCACACGGTATAACAGGTTGCTCCTTCCTTTTTTTTTTTTTTTTTTTTAAGATTTTATTTATCTGAGAGAGAGAATGAGAGAGAGAGCACGTGAGAGGGGGGAGGGTCAGGGAGAAGCAGGCTCCCCGCCGAGCAGGGAGCCCGATGCGGGACTCGATCCCGGGACTCCAGGATCATGACCTGAGCCGAAGGCAGTCGCTTAACCAACTGAGCCACCCAGGCGCCCCCAGGTTGCTCCTTCTATCATGTCAGCCGCACCTGCCTCAGAGAGACCTCCTTGGTGTTTTTTTAAATAGGACGTGGGTCTCTTTTTATGCCAGATGGTGGGGGGGGGGATTGTGTGCATTTACCGAGCATCTGCTGGGTGTCCAGGAACTATTAGTTGTTTTACATTTGCATTCTCCTTTATTCCTTCTGACCGCCCTCCCTATAAGATGTAAAGTAGCTATTTAATAGGTGATAAAAATGATTAATAAAGAAGTTAGCTGATTAGGGCCTCACAGAGGTTTGGATGGGATTGGGTCTATTTATATATGTATATCTTTCATGTGAAATATATATATTTATTTACATTTTATATATATATAAATACATAAATATATATATTTGTATTTATAGGTTTATTATATATATATTTTATATATATATAAAATATATAAAAAATATATATAAAATTCCAGGCTTCAGACAACATGCCGCCTCCTACATATTGGAAGTTAAGGCTGGGAGAAGCTCAGTGGAGCTTTACTAGTCCCTGGGCTGCCTTAGGCACCGGCGCCTGGAAGACAAACCTAGTGGTGTTCTTCATCCTTAGAAGCTGTAGCAGGTGACTTTGGGCCTGGCTAGATAGACGAGAAGGCAGAGAAGATGATGATGATGATGACGATACAGGACTGGGGGAGAGGACCAAGGCCAGTGTCAGAAGCAGTCTGGGGTTCAGGAGCTGAGAAACTGCCACACAAAGCAAAGGCAGTATCCTCATATGCTGGGGTGCTGGCCTCGTTTCCAAAGCCATCTAGCAAGCCCTGGCGCCATATGATAGACGGGCATGAAATAGAAGTCAGCAGAACCTCCTTCACCCCCATGAGCCATCCCATTGGCCCAAGAGGCCCCTACGATTCGACGTTTAGAGATTTCAGAGAGTTCCCTGTGAGGCAGGCCCTCTGCAGCCAGTGGAGCGCACATGGGTTCTGCCAGCAGGATGGCTGCTTGGTCTTGGGGCAGCCCCACGGCTGGTGTTTATGTGTTGTTCCTCTTCGGAGTATCCATTTCCCCTCTCAAATGTGAGCCTCTCCCTCCACCCCCCCCCCCCACGTGTGGCTGTGTCACGCAGATGCTAAAGGGAAAAGGAGTAAAGGGGTATAGGGTCTGTGTAGTACTAACCCAGCTCTCCAATAGGTCTTCCTAGACATTGGACTAAAGTCCTTCTTTTTATTTGTTTGTTTGTTTGACAGAGACAGCAAGAGAGGGAACACAAGCAGGGGGAGTGGGAGAGGGAGAAGCAAGCTTCCCGTGGAGCAGGGAGCCCGATGTGAGGCTCCATCCCAGGACCCTGGGATCATGACCTGAGCCGAAGGCAGCTGCCTAACGACTGAGCCACTCAGGCGCCCTCCCCCTTTTTTATTTTTTATATTATTGTATTTGTAAAGTCCTTTTTAATTGTATTTCCTCCTTGTGAAGTCCGCGGATCTGGGTTTGTTGACTTTCACAGCGTGGTTAAGCCTGGAACGGCCCACCTGCCGGTTCCTCCTTTCCAAACTCTTATCGGAAGCCTAGGTTGCTCTACCTGTCTCCAGCGTGGGTGGCCACCCTTATCTCTTGCCATTCTCCACATTCCAGACTTCTAGTTTCGTCCGGGGTTTTTTTTTTTTTTTTTTTGAAATCCCATGCCTCTCCCTCACCCCTCTCTGCTGGACATGGCTCCTCCACTCGGGGCTGGGTATTTCCTCTCCCTCCCCCAAGTGAGCATTCGCACTTCTGGCTTCTGTGTAGATGGTACCCACAAGTCTCCCTCTTGCCACCCCCCCCCACCTTACCTGGCCTGGCGAGGTTCTCTGCTGCTGGGTTCCACGACACTGGTACCATTCTCATCCTGGCACAGACTTTTCTGGAATGGGCTATAGTGCGTGCCTCTCCCACCAGATTGGAAGTGCCTTGGAGACAGGCACCAAGCCCGAGGCCCAGCAGGGGCTGGCGCGTGGGAAGTTTCCACACAGTGTTTAATGTAGACTACATCATATGGTTGAGGACTCCATGGGAGTGTAAGGAATGGGGCCACCATTATGGACTGGTGGCCAGGGGTGGCTGGACTAGAAGTCTTCCTCTGAGGACCCAGACAAAACTTTTTTTTCTTTTTTTAAGATTTTATTTATTTATTTGACAGAGAGAAACACAGCGAGAGAGGGAACACAAGCAGGGGGAGTGGGAGAGGGAGAGGCAGGCTTCCCCTGGAGCAGGGAGCCCGATGCGGGGCTCGATCCCAGGACCCTGGGACCATGACCTGAGCCGAAGGCAGACGCCTAACGACTGAGCCACCCAGGTGCCCCCCCAAACAGAACTTTTAAATCAAATCTAAGGGGCACCTGGGTGGCTTAGTCGATTAAGCGTCTGCCTTCGGCTCAGGTCATGATCCTGGGGTCCTGGGATCAAGCCCCACGTTGGGTTCCCTGCTCAGTGGGGAGCCTGCTTCTCCCTCTCCCTCTGCCTCTCCCCTGCTTGTGCTCTCTCTCTCTCTCTCTGTCAAATAAATAAAAAATATTTAAACCAAACCTGAGTTGTCTACCTTCATATGGTAGTCACTAGCTGCACTTATTTTTAAAATATAAATATATTTAATTAAAATTAATTAGAAACCCATTTCCTCGGTCTCAGCCAATTGTAAGTGCTCCGTAGCCAAATGTGGCCAGTGGCTGCCATACTGGGCAGTGCAAGCGGTAGAACGTTTCCAGTATCTCAGAACGTTTCGGACAGCGCTGCTCTAGACACTGTGTTGTAAAAGTATTTATTTCGGGGCCTGTAGGTTTGTGTGCAGGCTCTCCTTGGTGCTTTTGAGTTAGGGAAAGTGGATCTTCCTGGATGCCTTCTCAAGCCTGAACTGTTTCCTTGTTTTCTCCTTGGTGCAGGATGCTCGTCAGAAGTTCCGCTCTGTTCTGGTGGAAGCAACGGTGAGACTGGACGAACTGGTGAAGAAAATTGGCAAAGCCGTGGAGGACTCGAAGCCCTATTGGGAGGCACGCAGGGTGGCGAGGCAGGTAAGGTAGCCCCGCAGACCGTCTGCCCTGCCTCTGCCTGCCGCCCCAAACCGGGTCTGGGGTGCACCTTCTGACGGCTGTGCCTCCCGCCGAAGGGTAGAAGCGCGAGTCCCCGGAGATGCAGAATGACCGTGACTTTGTAAACAGCTGCATTTGAAGACAGCCTCTTATTTTCCCCTCCCCCCACAAGCTGCTCCATTCCAGCTCTTGATGCTCTTAATAGAGTGTGGGTGCTGGCATTTGGATGACCCCGTGAGTGGGTGCCACTTGGATGCCGAGTTGGTGCCCAGATCCACTCCCCGGCAGCTGGGCCATCTTGTGCGGCGTGGGACCTAGTTCTGACTTCACAGTGTGTCTTCTTTTGTCACCACTGATGTGATGCAGTGTTGTGCTTGCGTCCCCTCCCAGCCTCTGATAGCCAGGCCCCATGAATGGGGGGCGGGGGGGTGGAGGAAAAGAGCCCCCAACACTCAGCAGGCCCCGGGGCTGGGGGCTTTCACAAACCTCCGTCCACTCTGGCTTCCCCGTCCCGTGTCTCTTCAGTGTGACTTGCCACCCAAAGTAGGCCTAGGCGGGGTGGGGGGCGGGTTTCAGAGTTTGGGTTCCGTCCCTTGTATGTGTTTATGTGATGGAAGCTGTGGTCTCTGCTGGTAAGAAAGTGTGAGCAACAGGTATTTGGACACCTACCATGTGCACAGGCAGGTGGAGGTGTGGAAGGGGAGATCATGGGAGGGTGAACCCTTGAGAGATGAAGCCCCAGAAATGGAAGAACATGTTCAGATCAGACCCATTGAGGGTCAGAGGCCAGGAGTTGGGCATTCTTCCCCTTTGCGCTGCCTCCATGCACCTCTCCAGTTTCTCATCAGGGGATCCCCTTGATGGCTTTGGTGGTTCTACCGAGATCCTAGGTATGTTTTTGGCTTTCGCACTCTGAACCCTGAGCTGAGCTTTCTGTTTGGAGCCTGCCAGATCTGTTGCCTTGTTCCTAGACGGAATAGCTGCCTGAACCCGGTCTCCTTCCCTGGCCAGCTGCACGGCGTTGTACATCAGAGTGCCAATTACTCCTTGGTCTCCTGCAAGCTCTGAGCAGCCACTCCGCTTTCTACCTTTCTCTGGGCCCCACCCAGGCCTCTGGCTTTCCAGGGAATGAAGCCCTTCTCAAAAGGTGCTGGCCAGTCCCCAGGAGCTCCAGAGCCCTGAGGTGCTCTCTCTCAAAAGTACCTGTGTCCCACAGTCTTTCAGGTGCACCCCAAGTTGGGGATGTCTCATTCCCCCGCCACACCCTGCTGCCATGTAGCCCAGAGTAGAAGTATTCTTGATGTACAATTGCAGCATGAAGGGTTTGAGAAGAAATTTCTGGTAATTTAATGTAAGCACTGATGAATACTGAGGAGGTTATGAAATCTCTTTTTCTGAAAGTCTTCAAAGCTTGAATTTGTTGCCTTCTGCCTCTCTTGAGCCCACAAATATCCTTAAAACCACCCACGTGCCCGCGCCTCAGGATGATTAAGAGTGGTCTGTTAAACCAAGCCCTTGGAGTTGTGGCAGACATTTGCCCACCTGGTCCCTGGAGCTTGGGTTTCGGCACAGAGCTGGCTAAAGGAGCGTTTGTTGTTCAGGGGATGCTGGAGGTTGGTCCATTAGGTCACTGGCCCCAGCTGGTGGGAGATGTCCACTGTTGGCTGTAGTCCTGTCACATGTGCTTCTACCTCAGAGTCTTTGAACTTCCTGGTCTCTCTGCTTGTCATTGATTTAACCCCAGAACTTGCGTGGTCCACTTCTTTGTCTTCAGGTTTCTGTTCCAATGCCACTTTATCAACAAGGCCTTCCTGGGCTACCATTGACGTAACTGCCACTCGCCATCTCTAGCACCCCCATCCCTCGTTCCTTGATTTGCCATTTCTCCGTAGCACTCTGTCCAGCTGACTTGTTATTGTTTACTTGTTTATAGTAGTGCAGCTCTGTGATGAACGCCTGAACAGATGCGTGAACGACGAGTTGGCAGGCAATAGCAGAGCCCATGCTCCTCCTGGCCCGCCCTTGGCGTTCTGAGCGTTTCTTCCATTGCCCTTGACTCCCAACTTACCTGCCACATGGCCACGTGAGCAGAGGGGTAGGAACACGGCTGGTAAATCCAGCTTTGTCTGGGTTGGGTCCATTTAAATCTCATGCTGGGTATGTCCCCAGTTGTCTGTGACACATCTGGGGTAGGTTTCACACCACTCTCTTCTGTACCCAAATCCTCTCTGATGGGGAAAGAGGTAGGAGGGAGCTGGGCTGGCAGGGTCCCGCTGCTGGGCACCTGCGACCTATGGCATTGCTCCTTCCTCTCATTCCTTCTCTTGGCTGGTGAGGACAATGATCGCGACAATTGTGGAGTTCTGTGGGTGAGCCACTGAGTCATCAGGTCTCTTGAGATTATACCCAGACCCTGGGGGTGACTGACTCACTGTCAGCCAGCAGAGGCCAAGATGATTGTTAAAGGAACCCCTGCCTTCTTGCAGGTGGGGCAGGAAGAAGAAGGGCGGGGAAGGCCCAGAGGGACCCCTACCCCTCAACCCCAAGGGACTTTGTTGGTCTGTAGCCGAGGAACTGGAAGGACGCTCAAAGGCTGAGGCTGGTTGCGGCTGTCATATTTCATCTGCGCACATGGTGGGCTGTCTGGGCTCGGGCCAGGTGGTGAGTCTGTTTGTGCACACGCATCCTCTGACCTTCCTGATGGTGAAGGGGCTGCCAAGTGGGGCTTCCTGTTTTCTTCCTCTCTCTTATCCCCACCCCCTTCCTTTCTATATTTATGGACCCTCTGGCTGTGTACAGCAGGGATGGTCTCAGGGATGCCTTCAAAACATCTGCTTCTAGTGTGTATCAGGAGGCGCTATGTTCCCAGGGCCTCTGCATCTTTGTCTATGTGACAGGGGTCAGGTTACCGGAGCAGCCTTGGCTCTCTCGTGAGGTTGTCTTTAGGATTTCAGTGAGATAACGTGTGTGTTTGACCGCAGAAACCCTGCATGAGCTTAGGTTTCAGCTCCATTAAAGAAACTTTTTGTTGTAGAAAATTTTGAAAATAAATGAAGAAAAGAAGTCTCCATGTCTTCTGTTAGTATTTGATTTATATCTCCTATTTTTATTTATTTTTTTGTGTAAGAGATTATCCTGTGGTGGTGTTTTTCTACTGTCTGAATGCCCATGTCCATCCATCCAGAGTCGCAGTGGAAAGGAGACTTAAAGAGCTTCGTTTTCCAGCAAGAGTTTACAAAGGCTTGTAATTGTTGGGCCAGTAGAAATTCTATTTGCTTATCAAAAATTTGCGTTAACTTTATTGTTCCCGATGTCATGTCAGATCAGGAATGGGTCAGATCCAGTCCTGTGAGGGGGAAAACCCAGCCCAAATTCTGCCGAGAGGAGGTAGAACACAGCCCCCCGACGCCCAGCTGGGGTGGGGGCAGGACACTGGCTTTGATGGATTTGAGGGCTTTTGTCCTTGAGCTGCAGCTTGTCTGTAAGGCTGCTTTGACGTATCTGTCAGCCCATGTGGCCTTCAGTGTGTGGCCGGGGATGTTCTGACGAGGGGGCGGAGCCGTGTGACTCAGTAAAGCCTGAACAGCTGAGAGTGTTTCTGGCTTGCTTCGCTCCCTGGGCTCTAACTTGTCTAGCAGTAACCCTGGGCCTGTCATTTTTAGTGCGGCCACTCCCCATGCGGCTGCTGCCTTTTTTTTTTTTTTTTTTAAGATTTTATTTATTTATTTGACAGAGAGACACAGCGAGAGCGGGAACACAAGCAGGGGGAGCGGGGGAGGGAGAAGCAGGCTCCCCGCCGAGCAGGGAGCCCGATGCGGGGCTCGATCCCAGGACCCTGGGACCATGACCTGAGCCGAAGGCAGACGCTTCACGACTGAGCCACCCAGGCGCCCCTTTCTTCATATTTTTAAAGAGGTGTGGAAACTATATAGAACATACATTTTGCCATTTGGAAGTGTGTAATCCAGCAGCATTAAGTACATTCATATTGTGGGGCCATGCCTACCACCATCCATCCCCAGAACTTTTTCATCTTCCCAAACTGCAGCTCCGTGCTTATTAGACACCAACGCCCCAGTCCCTCCAACCCCCTGCCCTTGGCAACCATTGTTCTACTTTCTGTCCCTATGAATAAGTACCCGATATAAATGGAATCATGCAGGATTTGTCCTTCTGTGACTGGCTTCTCTCTCTTTGCCTAACATCTTCAGGGTTCGTCCATGTTGTAGCGTGTGTTAGAATTCCATTCCTTTTTTTTTTTAAAGATTTTTTTTATTTTTATTTATTTGAGAGAGAATGAGAGAGAGCGTGAGAGGGAGGAGGGTCAGAGGGAGAAGCAGACTCCCCGCTGAGCAGGGAGCCGGATGCGGGACTCGATCCCGGGACTCCAGGATCATGACCTGAGCCGAAGGCAGTCGCTCAACCAACTGAGCCACCCAGGCGCCCAGAATTCCATTCCTTTTTAAGACTGAGTAATATTCTGTTGTATGGATACACCACATTATGTTCCTTCATCCACTGATGAATACATACGGGCAACGCTCATTGTTTTTACATAGTTGCAGTGTGTCAGAAGACTTTGCAAACCTGAAGAGCAACAGAAATGCAAAACAGTGAGGGTTGTTCGGAGGTTACCTGTTTTGTGTAAGTCTGTGCCCCACACGTAAGCTCCTTTGGGGGAAGTTAGGCGAGTGGGAAGACATTTAAAGCTTGTGGAGTGACTTAGCTGTAGGACAACTGGCAAAGCCAGACCTCTGAGCCAGACCTATTGGCTTTGAATCCCAACTTACCGTGGGACTTTGGTGGGTTACTGAATCTCTGTGCCTCAGTTTCTTCATCTGTAGAATGGAGTCGTGTATGTTAGCTTTTGCTGGGACACAAATCACCCCAAACTTAGTGGCCTAAAACACTTATTTAGCTCATGATTTTGCTGGGCAGTTTTTCTGATCTCAGGCTTGGCTGATGTCCTGCATATGTGATCA